CTATTTAAAAAGAAAGAACAATATTTCTAAAGCGCATGCGTCAATTTGACGCAGACTATCTTTCTAGGGTTAATGGCGAAACCAGCTTTTCCTGTAAATCCTGTAAAACCTGCAAATCGTGATTGCAAATCGGGTTGGGTTGAATCCAAACAGTTTGTTATTTTGCGAAATCCTAGGAAACGAAACAATTGCATGCTGACACCTTTTTAATAATGGTTCAAGTTCAATTAATGCTTTCAATCTGCTCACACGTATGAGTTGTCAAAAACCATTGTTTTGAACATGTAAACCTCAAGTAAATGTCAATTACACCAATTTACAAAAGTATTTATTAAATGTAAAAATCAGTACAAAATCAGTACAAACTCAAAAAATCAGTAGATTTTGCGTACTGATTTCGGACTCTTAAAAATCAGTACAATAGAAAAAAATCAACACATGTACTGATTAAATCAGCGTATCTGGCCACCCTACTTGTAACTAGCATTCAGATATTCAGATTGTTGGACAGTTCCATATGCTGTGGTCTAGAAATGAGAAGGCCTGATTCTTTGTATATTTACATTTTGGAATCCAGGGTAAATTATAATTTCGTCGCTGGAATAATGAAATATTGTAACATGAAAAGTATAGTTTTGAGAAAAACGAATTGAAAGTTTTTATAAACCATTACAAACCATACAAATACAATTTCGTTTTTCGGGAATAAATTAGTGAGCCAAAGAGATATTTAAGAAAACTAAAGATTTTTCTAATAGATTAAAGGATTGTCTATCCAATGGTGCAATTATCGAATAATAGTATATGTGGCATTTACACTGTTTCTTTATTCGAGCGACGATTTAGTAAATTTGTTCATTTTCACTGAGATTATCATTTCATTATTTGTACATAATATTATAACGCAGTACTTTTTTTTATATCAAAATCAATGTTATTCGTATCATCAGAGCTTACTGCCTTTGGCGCGAAAGCCGTAACGGCTTTTAAAATTGCAGTATCAAGGTGCTCTTTCTGAAATCTTGGCAAAATTCAACTTTAAGTTTCAAAGCATTTTTAATTTCATTTTCTGCATAATTTTCTTTAGTAAGAAATATTTCGGCTTCTGTCCCACAAAGAATATTCAAAATGGGTTTGTGATTTTTTAAATCTGAAGTGTTTGTTAAATGATATTTAATATTTGCTTTAGAGATGGAATTGCGACAAATTTGTTTTAAGAAAAATGTTAAGGGTAGATGCAGAGCGTGGAAGCCAGCTTCTTCTGCTTATGTTTATACCATTTATCAGTTTAAGCACATCAATCACGATCAAATGTAAAAAATAATATTTTTAATTGCAGATCCGAAAGAAATATATATTAGTTGAACTGAGTTACGCAAAAATAGTGCCGAAAATCAATCGATTGTGCTTAGGGTGCCGGCTGCTTCCGAAAGGGCCGAAAATGGCACAATAATAATAATATCCCAACGGGTTTTACCCTCCATTCCCGCCCATCCGCACGAGGGGCGCAGTCCGCATGACGTACGGAACCAATATTTTAAATTTTTGTGCCGAGTCACGATAGGCAGGAGTTTGCTAAGTGTCGAGATCTAAAACTGTTCAGCTACAGAACTAAATTCATCAGCTGATTTTATGTATTTATGTCAATAATTAACTTATTGAGAGAGGAGAGTATCGCTTTCTTAATGCTGAAAAGCGGATCTGATATATCAAACGTGCTGGAATGAGAGTTAAAATCCTGGCATAAGCAACGGAGTGGGTCGTGCAATTCAAAATTGGTTTTACAAGCTTTCAGAAATATGGGACAAAGGTGTCTTGATACGCGTGAGGGAACATTAAAGCTTACATCAGCCAGAAGAGACGGACTTGAAATTGAGCCTGTCAGTAATTTAACCATAAAAATGACACCAAGCATTTCCCTGCGACTGGCAAGTGTATAAGGTGGAAGACTATATTGAGAATCCCATCGGAAATTTCTTAAAGCAAAAAGTAGGAATTGTTTTTGAATTGATTCTATCTTGTCTGAGTAAATTTGATACCTTGGATTCCAAACCACCGAGCCGTATTCCAGAATCGGCCTAACTAATGTTGTAAACAGGGTTTTAGTGATATAAGGGTCACTAAATTCTTTTGACCATCGTTTCACAAATGCAAGTACACCTTTAGCCTTGTTGACTGTCACATTAATGTGAAGATTAAAATTAAGCTTAGGATCCATTGTGATACCAAGGTCCACAAAATTGTATACCTGTTCCAGATTATGGTTACCTATTATATAAGAAACTGGCAGAACAGCTCTTCGCGAGAAGCACATTACTTTACATTTCTTAAGATTTAGAGGCATAAGATTTACTTTACACCAGTAAGCCATGCTGTTTAAGTCTGATTGTAGCAAAGACCTTTCTTTGTACGTACGATTTATAAAGTTTTACATCATCTGCATACATTAAAATTTTGGAGAATTTTATATCTGTAGAAATATCGTTTATAAAAAGCAAGAACAGAATCGGGCCTAGGTGGCTACCCTGAGGGACTCCTGAAGTAACATCAATGACGTCAGAGATAGTATTTTTAAACAATACCCTTTGTGATCTATCATAGAGGTATGAAGAGATCCAACGTAGAAAATTGGGTGGAAGACCAAGAAGATCAAGTTTATAGATGAGCAACGAGTGGCACACTTTGTCAAATGCTTTACTGAAATCAGTATATATAACATCAACAGTTTTGCTCTCACTAAATGCTTTTGAGATATAGGATGTTAATTCAAGTAAATTTGTAGAAGTTGATTTGCCCTTGCCAAATCCATGTTGACTGTATGAAATGCTTGAAGTGATAGAATGCGTCAACCGATTTGTTATAATTGCTTAAAGAAATAAGCTTATGATAAAATTTTAGAAAATGGGCGTGGCACCGCCCACATAGAAGCAAAACGTTGAAAATTATTGAAATCGGTCTAAAATTATGGCCGCTTTTCATATAACAGTAAATTTCAGAAATGCTTGAAACTTCAATATTTCGAAATTTAAGGACGCTAATTTACTCAAAGTTAATACACCCTTACCATGGATTACCATGTAGTCGTAGCTTTCGGAAAGGTGAAAAACATATATTTAATACTTGCGCCGGGTATTTAATGTTCGGCTCCGCCCGAATTTAGACTTTCTTACTTGTTGTTCCTTAATTTCTTAAACAATTTTTTTTGATTTGAAATCAAAATTTTTTTATATTGAAACTAATTTATAATGTTGCTAGGTTCGAATGGGTTAACGCAATGACAAAACCGTTGTCATATAAGTGTATAAAAAGCATATATGTAATACTCCTATATTGGCAGTAAGAGCTAGTACCGTCCGAAAACACTACAGTACAGATATATCAATAAACACGTACGAAAGAAAAGGAACACATATGTTTATAAATAAACATGTACACAACACGTATACAAAAACGGCACTAAAGTACACAATCCATTGACAAAAACGGTACTAGACTGTCTCGCTTTGATTTCGGAATGCTTACACATTGAGAAGTTAGCTTACTGGCAATATAGAATTATTACATATATGATAAAAAGTAAATATGTCATATATTGATTTCACTTTGCTTATTACACCATGGTTTGAACGCATGACTCAATAATACAAGGTTGTGTAATTTGTGACAGCTAAAATTTGACACTCCTTTATCTAGATTTGTATTTTGGAAAGAAAGGGGAATAATGTGATCGCCTTTTGCGAAAACGGTAGTAGAAAGGTACTACAAAAAGTACGCAAAGTATACAATTAGAAGTAAAATGTGTATTATTAATTCTATGCGAATTTGCAATATATTTGGTGTTTTAATGGAAATACTAAACAATACATAAATATGTACATTTTTGATTTAAGTTATTCATCATTTCCTGGAACCGACCGTTCAGCTATGCAAAAAGGAAAACTGCAGATAAATAGAACTCATTTCAACCATGCCAAAATTATTTGGCGCAAGTAAAAAAATCAGGACGTTCTAGAAGGTTAAAGTTCAGTTTTTAAATTTTTTAAATATTAATATCTTACGAACTGTAGGTATAACCGATAAAAAAACTAATGACGCCACCATAAAGATAGCTAATTTGTCTTTAAGCTGGTGTACATAATTTGTAGCTTCTTGTATTTTTAAACCAAAACCACTAAAAAACGAACAAATGTTATTTTTTCATGAAATAATATTTTTTGAAAAAAACTGCATAATTGTAAAGAAATTTATATTATTTAGAAAGTACAAGTTATTATCTTTAATTCGATATTACATATTTTATCATGATGTACTTTTGGGTTTCAACAATTCAGTGCCCTGCAAAAGTGGGACTAGGTTAAACACTGGTACAGGAACACGAAACCTTGTAACCAACACTAGTAACCAAAATGGTCCAAATATATGGAGAAAACATGGTTACAATAACATTTTTCCAGTTTGTGAACATTTTAATATTTATGGAAAAACGAAATGTAAAAAATAATGGAGAAAAACCTAATAGAAAAAGTGAAAAAGTAAAATGCAAATTTTGCAGAGAGTATCAGCGAGTTAATGATTTCTCGGGCGCAATGTCAAACGATTTGTGTGTAACTTGACGCATAACCATCGTTGACGGTGATGGTGACGGTGGCGGTGACGCTGTCGCAATGGATGGTATGTACATTCACTTTAATGGTTACACAATTGTTTTTCGATTCAACGTATGAAAAGGCATCGATTCTAAAAAAAGGGTCGATTCTAAAAAAAAAATTGTAACGTTGCCAGTTCGCTTTTAAGGCTTATAACGTTAAAGCTGTTAAACATATTTTTGCACAGAACCACAGACTTGCTTAGTTTGTTCCAGCGTTTTATGCAAACATTTGTAATAGACCATTTGGACTTAAGGTTATATGCCTAAAAAGTGCACTTACAACATTAACAGAGAGACTTTTCGGAAGTTTCTTTTTATTGTGGATTCATTTTTCACCATTTCAGTTAATAAGTTTTTTGTGTTGTTTTGTTCATATGCTATTTTATTGAAACTAATCTCTCTATATACTATTGTCAAATATGTATTTATATTAAACTAAAAGATCTATTTAATGGGTCGCTTATGGATGGCAACCGAACTTCAGTTGCGTTGCCAGTGGCTGAAATTGTATTACTAATGGCACCTGGCAACTGAAAGCTGGCAACCGAGTTGCCTTATTGGCATCTGCATTTTTGTGGTTGCCGCGGAAATTTTGATTTTGAAAATTTATTTATTTTTATAAACTTTCCACGGTTTATTTACATTCAAATCTTTGTTGCTGCTCCCTCAAAACTCGATTATATTCAACTTTGTAGCACGTAACTATATTTGCTGTTCATACCCTGCAAAAATCGTTGGACCATGTAGTCTATTTGTGGTAAATTGGAGTACTTACAAAAGTGTTCCTCTGTCATGCTGTAGCGGACCAATTCGTGTCTCTGCGGCAGCTTATTCCCTGCAAAAATCGTTGGACCATGTAGTCTATTTGTGGTAAATTGGAGTACTTACAACAGTGTTCCTCTGTCATGCTGTATCGGACCAATTCGTGTCTCTGCGGCAGCTTATTGTTTGTTATCCGATCACTGCTCGTGTTTTAACGAAATGTGATTGAAGTTGATCATTTGAAAGCACATTTGCATGTCTGGCTGTAGCTGAACGTGTAGAGATGCTCGCTGTTAGTTCTTAGCTCCCAGCATGTTCGGGTTCGAATGCCGTCAGAGGCAACATGTAATTTTTAATTTTTGTCTTGGTTTTTATTAGGTTCGAAAAAGCATTTGAGATGTGAAGAACAAAAGCGTGTACACACGAAAAAATATAACAATAATGCCATTGTTAATATGTTGGAGTAGTTTTGTGCTACTCTGATGTAATGCTGGCATGGAGTATATGGTCCTGCCCTAGGACATCGCAATGTTAATTGGACCATATTTTTTATATGAATTGTGGTTAATTTTGGAGTACTCCTTGGTCCTTAGGGAGTACTCTTTACACGCATGCATGGAGTAGTCGCGATTTTTGCAGGGTAATACACATTTTCATTTCAGTGGCGTTGCTCTTCGGCAACTCAACTAAGGTTGCGTTGCTATTCATAATCGACCCATAAAATTGCAATGAAAATTATTAAATTAATTTTACGACGGCTTGAAAGCCTGCATCGTTTTAAATGTATTATTTAGATATTATGTACTAATATACGCGAAGTTAATATCTGTGGTAATAAGCAACAATCGCCTAAGTTGAAAACCCCGAATTCGAGAAAAAACGCTTTAAAGATTTGGATTGTAATGTTAACCTTATGGGGAAACCAAAATATTTTCATCTATAACTTTATAAATAGCCTAGGTAACGAGATGGGAGTATCACATACACATGGAATAGTAGTTGCAGAAAACGATAGCATATATAACTCAATTCTTTTTAAGTCGACTTAGGCGGTTATTGCTTATGACCACAGATATGTGCTAACCGTCATGTAGAAAGTATCTCTCAATTATCTAAATCCCGTAATTACGTTTTATGTTCCTTATGTTTTATGTATAAAAAATTGCTATCATTCAAAAAAGGTCTATACATTTGCATTATTAAAAATATATGAATTTCTTTCATCTACCTATGTACGTACATGCACTCACTTAAATCAAATCGTATATAAACGGTAGCTCATAATTTTCATTTCCAAATTACAATAATTTTAAATACATTATATGCTTTATATGAAAATTCGCCCATTCTTGAATGATCTTGCCGTTGTTCCACTTAAACCTCTTCGAAATTTTTGCCTTTTTACAGCGTAAACCACATAATGAATTGTAACAACTTGTAGGTGTTTACTACAGGAAATTTCCAATCAGGTTTTTGCATTCTTAATAATGGCGGCATATTGCTAGGATAATGTATGGGCTTTGATATGTGGCAATTTGTGATAACTGTTCCGCCTGGATAATTGATTGATACGGCGTCACCCGGCAAGACACCGTCGCAATCAGTAAGCTCGAGTTGTTTGTTAAAGCAAATGCGAATCTCTTCGAGGTAACTCATATCCCGCTTGTTGTCGTATATGCAATGTATAGAGGGGTTTTTTCCTAGTGTTTTAAGCAAAGCCGTCTGCAGCGCAACTACTGTATTATTCGAATCTGGGTGTATTCCTGCTTTTCCTAAGATATTCGACATTAAGAACTGCTCCCGCCAAGCCAATCCTTGCTTGAAATATTTCAACTCGTTGTCTAGCTCTTCCAGGGTTACAGCGCAGGTGCCATGTTTCAACCATTCGTGCTCCCAAAAATACCCCAATTTTTGTTGACCGTCAATTGTTGGCCAATAAGTTTTTAAATTTGTTAGTATCTGTTCGAGCTGATTCAAGTCAAAATCAGCAGTCTTGTTACAAAAACTAGGACCCATATGGCCCAATTTCGTTGGCCATACGCCATGAATAGTCCAAAATTCTTTCTTGTCAGGTAAAATACATGCGTGCGTGCTATCCTCTTCTCTCCAGTGGTAACATGTGGTGACCGGCCATTGCTGGGTAAATATCAATACATCCCAGTCAAGGTTTCCGCCCTCGTTTTCAGTGTTTGAATCTTCATCAGAAGAAATTTCATTAAAGAAAGGTGACAGTTCGTTGCTGATAAGATCGCCGTCATTGTATAGATCAGTACTTGATGTGTCCCCGTTATCACCGAACGACCATTCCGAGCTTTTGCCAATTGTAGAGCTGAGAATAAATAGAAAATTTTAATTACTTTTCAGCTTAGTAAATATTTTTTTTTTTCATGATAACACAAGCTTACGAATGTAAAAATAATGCTCTGAATTGTATCATTTGACTAACACTAAATTATCTGTAGATATAGTTAGCCGATTTAAATTTTCTGTTTTTTATGAAATTAAAGGCCTATATCTTACTAATATTATAAATGTGAAAGTTTGTATGTTTGGATGTTTGGGAAATCATCAAGCGGAAACGACTGAACGGATTTGTATGAAATTTTGTACGCAGATAGCTTATGGGCCAGATTGGTTAATAGGCTATTTTCTTGAGAGTTGCCACCTGTTAAAAAAGTCTAATTTATTTAATATGCGGGAACGACTGCATGGATTTGCATGAAAATTTGCACACAGATAGCTTATGACCTAGATTGGAAAATACGCTACTTTTCTTAAGAGTTGCCACCTGTTAAAAAAGTTTCATTAAATTAATACGCGGAAACGACTGAATGGATTTGCATGAAATTTTGCAAGCAGATATCTTATGACCTACAGTGGAAAATAGGCTATTTTTTTGGAGGAGTTGCCACCTGTTAAAAAAATTGAATTAAATTAATACGCGGAAACGACTGAACGGATTTGCATGAAATTTTGCGAACAGATAGTTTATGACCTAGTTTAGAAAGCAGGCTAATTTTTAAGAGTTGCCACCTGTTAGAAATGTTTAATTAAATTAATACGCGGAAATGAGTGAACTGATTTGCATGGAAGTTTTCACACAGATAGCTTATGAGCTAGGTTGAAAAACAGGCTACTTTTTTTTAAGAGTTACCTCCTGTTAAAAAAGTTTAATTAAATCAATACGCGGAAAAGTCTGAACGGATTTGCATGAAATTTTGCAAGCAGATAGCCTATGACCTACAGTGGAAAATAGGCTAATTTTTTGGAAGAGTTGCCACCTGTTAAAAAAGTTTTAATTTAATTAATACGCGGAAACGACTGAACAGATTTGCATGACGTTTCGCACAGAGATAGCTTATGACCTATGTTGGAAAATAGGCTACTATTTTAAGAGTTATCACGTATTAGGAAAGTTTAATTATATTAATAGGCGTAAATGACTGAACTGATTTGCATGAAAGTTTGCACACAGATAGCTTATGACCTAGACTGGAAAATAAGCTACTTTTTAAGAATTGCCACCTGTTTGAAATTGAAATTTTGCTCAAAGATGGTTTATGACCTGGATTGAAAAATAGGCTACTTTCTTAACCGGTTTTCCGATCAGAACGAAATTTAGTACACTTACTACGGATTTAGGAAGGATGGTCTTAGACTGAAAGTAAGTCCGATAACTCAAGGCCCCTCCCATACAAATTGGAATTTTCATATTCTGGAAGTATTTGTGGGAGAGAACTGAAGCTTGGTATAGTGATATGTATGTGAAATCAATGTTGGCATTAATCGATTGATGTTTTAATCAGTTAGTTAATTCGATTAAATTCAATCTGATTACGGTTAATCATAATTAATTAATAATTAATTTTAATCTGGCTAAACAGATAATCGTAGCCGCGATTAAAAAAATAATTTTTAATCATTAACTCTTAATTTGATCAAGTAGGTTTGGTGATTAATTAAGTTATGCTGGAATTTCCCTGTGCACACAAAGCAAGTTAATCCGGTATGGCTAAGTCGGGTTTCCTCATCAATCTAAGCAATTTGGTGTGCATTTTCATTAAGATATATACCAACAAACGTTTTACAAACTAGGTTTGTAAAGGTTCCCAGTTTATGTATTACTAATAACAATAATTATAATTTTTTGTTATATTATGTGCTTTTTATAAGCGTAAAACACAAAATAATTACTATAACTGGTGTTTGGTTTCAAACTCGGACAAACTAGACAAATTAATCAGATTTTATTTTTAATTGGATTAACGATTATTGTTTTAAATTAATTAAGCCAGCGATTATCGATTAAAAAATGTTATCATTAATCGTACAGCTGATTACGACTAATTAACTTTAATCGTCAAACGCGATTAACATTTTAATCGTTAATTTTAAATCGTTAATCAGATTAACAGTTTGCCAACACTGTGTGAAATCATGTTCATATTCACGGAGAAAAATGGACGTTTTTGGAAAAGAGGCGTAGCACCTCCCATACTAACCGAAAGTTTTATATTGCATATCTCTTCAAATGTTTGGGGTAAAGAACTCAAGCTTGTTATGGAAATAGATATGTATGTATGTGAAAATAATACCATACTCATGGAGAAAAATGAGAGTTATTGGAAAAGATGGTGTGGCAACTCCCATGCAAATTGATTTTTCTATGCTGCATATCTCTGGAGGTGTTTATTGCAGAGGACTGGAACTTGGCACCGAGATGTGTATACAAAATTAATTCCATACTCATGGAGAAGAATTTGCGTTATTCGAAAAGGGGACATGGTTCCTGCCGTACAAATTCACTTTTTTATACTGCTTATCTCTAGAGGTGTTCATGGTAGAGTACTGGGACTTGGTACTGGGGTATGTAAAATCAATTCTAAATTCATGGAAGAAGATTAGGGTTATAAGAAAAAGGGGCGTGGCACTTCCAGTACAAATTTACGTTTTCTTTCCACATATCCCTGGAAGTGTTTTTGGAAGAATACTGGAACTTGGTATGGAGTTGTGTATACAAACTGTATCAATAGCTCATGGAAAAAATGTGAGTTATTAAAAAAGGTGGCATGTCGCCTCCCATACATACTAAAAACTTCTTAATACATATCTCTGGAAGGATAGAAAATCTCTCGAAGTATTTTAAATTTGTTATGGAGATTTATTTTATAAGTGCCGCACTGACAGAATAAATTTCATTAAATGGAAAAGGGAGAGCCGGGTTCGGCCTTATAATCTAAAGGTCTCTTTAGGCATTTGCTACAGTAATGAGAAGTGGTATTTTATCAAGGCCAGGTTACTAAATTTGAGTTGGAAATATTAGAACCCGCCGTGGCCCCTCCAAGAAGGTTACACGTTCACGCGTCGTATACCTGGAACCATTTTAAGGTAAACTTAGAGGGATTGATATCTTTCGTATGCCTAGCGCGCAGACGAGATTTTATAATTTCATAGTTTTAAACGGCCTAAATACCTTAACTCGCTTAAAAAATAACGAGCTATAACGAAATGTGTACAGAAATAAAATCTATCATCATTAAATTATTTTTCATATTTGTATAAAAGCGCGGGGTGAAACCCGCGGGTATAAGCTAGTATATATATATATGTGCATATGTGTGTACGTACATATGTATGCATACCGAAAACTATTCTACTTTGCTATTCAGGGCAAATTTTACATAAAAACTGCAGTCAGATGCAGAATTAATAGATACTGTTTTGCCGTTAGTTTAATATTTTACCGAATCTTTCAAAATAAAAACTTAAGTGAAAGCGAAAGCAAAAGAATAAAAATATATTTTCATTTCCATTATGGCGTAATAAATTTTAATCAACAGTCCTTTTTATTTTGAAATCAGGATTTATGTAAAAAAATTTTCGTAGATCCCCATATTTCCTCATCATAGTTAGTTCTCGAGCTCAGTGATATTTGAACTGCGCCAGTATCGTACAAAACACTGATTTATCTATGCCCAATGTAAGCTGTTGTTGCTCTTTTCTAATTTTTCAACCCAACCACAAGGGCAAATATTTTGGTTGCTGCTTAAGTTACATCGTGTGTTTGTTGGACGCAAACTAAAAAAATATATATAATTTGATAAAAATATTATTATTAATTCAAATTCATTTACAATACCTAAATTTAATATCACTGAAATTAGGCATCTATTACATTTCAAGCTCACTTATTTGTACTGACCAAACAAAGCTCAGATTGAAATACGTGAAATGACATTTGGCTTTAGATGGCTGTGTTGGTTGATAATGGGAAAGACCTGTTTGACAGCTCAACCGTGTCTGACTAAGCCGGAATTTCCCATTGTGAATATAAGCTTTGATCGTAATGTACTCATAAACAACTAAGTGCTGTGTGTTTTGTGTTGTATACTGCTATCGATGATAAGTTCTCGCTGTTTTATCCTTGCAATTTGCATACCAGGGTGCATTTTTGCTAAAGTTAATGCAGATGGAGTGCCAAACAGCAATTCAGATGCTGGTAATTCGGTCTTTGAAGCAAAAAATGGTGTGAGAAGGGCAACAGCGGAACTGGTATCTTCAAGCATTTTGAGTTTCGCACATGATGTTGGCTTGCTACTGAACGACGATGTGCAATTTGGTAAAACTTCAATTTTCTCACCCGTGAGCATAATGTCGTCCATGGCAATGCTATTGTTGGGATCAAAAGGCAAGAAATATGAAGACTTAAGACATATTTTTGGCTTGGATGTGCCACCACTGAGAGATGCCTCTAACTCATTCCATGCCGAATTTGGAGCTATGATGGAGGAAATGCAAGAAAATTCAGATTCTCTGCTGACGCGCAACCACGATAACTGGCGGAACACGAACGTAGCATTCAATATTCGAAATAAGCCGAATATCAGTGAGGAGCGTGGGAGTGCGGTAAATAGCGTGATAAAACTTGTAAATGGGCTGTTTGTGAAAAATGGTTACGAACTGAATCCGCTCTATAGGTATGTATGTATGTATGTATGTTATGTTGTTAATTTATTAAAGTACATAAGTATTCCTCTTCTTCTTTGTACATAAGTATTACGGTGGTCCTAAAAGTATCAACATCAGGTTTTATTTTGTGTACGTAGAAAATAAAGGTATCTACGAAAATTTCAAAATTAAAAAAAAAAAAAATGAGGTCGCTGCCTGGTTTGAAAAAAATTAAATAAAAAACAGCAAAAATTAGAGAAAATTTTAACTTTCACCGTATATAACTCAGCGAATTTATGAATAAGTTTCAATCATGATAAACACATAGTAAGGTAAAACCGTTCTCTCAATTCGTTGACCATGATTTTTTTTTAAGTTTGCCAACATTTTAGAATCAAACAAAATTGAGAGTAAAAAAAGGAATTGTTCAAAGTTGTTGTTTAAGATTGAAAATGAGAATGTGTGTGTGAGTTTGTGTGTAAAATTTTAAAATTAAATTGCTTGCAAACGTCAAGAATTTGAAAAATTACTCTCAGCGGTTCTGCCTTCCTATTTTTTTATCATGGTTTCAATAATATGTGAAAGTTATCAGATTTCGAGTTACTTTTAGTCAAAATTTTGAGATTCAAAACAAAAATAAATTTTTTCAAAACATAGTAGCGACCCCTAAACTTTTTTTAAATTTTGAAGTTTCCTTGGATATCTGTACGTATGTATATATGTGTACGTAGACCAAAATAAAGGGGTGCCCCATACAAAATTTAGATGTTGCTATTTTACTGACCGCCCTAATATGCGTGTATGCGTGAATGTTTATTTGTATTTACTATTTTTCAGGGACGTTATTTACTCCATTTACAAGTGTGACGTAATCCCATTGGATTTGAACAAACCACTAGCGCGTGACTTCATTAATGATTGGATTTTCAAAAAAACGTTTGGCAAAATTATTGGAATCGTAACAGAAAACATCTCTGCAGATACCAACGCAATTATTGCAAGTGCGTTGTATTTTAAAGGCTTTTGGGTAAACCCCTTTATTAGAGGCGCTACTGTCATCGATAATTTCTATCCAGACGGCTTGCAAAGAAATCCAATAAAAGTGCAAATGATGGCAACAGCAGGCGCTCACCCATACTATTTTTCGGTAGAACATGACTGCGGTATACTCGGTATGCCATATATAAACAACTTCACTACAATGTATATAATACAACCGAAAAATTCTAGTCGTAATAAGCTAAGTAATTTGTTAAAAGCCTTAAATGCGGACAAAATTGAAGGAATGATATCTAAAATGGTTTACCAGAATGTCATATTTGCACTCCCGAAAATGCATTTAACGCAAAATATTGATATGAAAAATATATTCCGCGCACTCGGAGTTAACAATATATTTGCTAAGGAACGAATTAGTGAAGTGCCAAGAAGTGATTTGGCTGAAAGAACTTGGCCACGTGTAAGACATACTATCACATTTCCAACTGATAAACCGGTAAATGTTGCGCATGCGCCGCTTACTTCGACGGAACAACTGCTGGAAGAATGGATTAGCAACCGAAATGCAAGTACTAATTTACTATCTGACCTTTTTGTGGGTGATATAGTACACAAAGTTGATTTTGTCGTCGATGAGGATGGCACTGAAGGGGCAGCGGCAACTGTCACGTATTTAAAACGATCTGGTGGTAGCGTGCTATTCCGCGCAGACACCCCATTTTTACTATTAGTTCGCCATGATCCTACGAAATTACCACTATTTTATGGTATAATTAATGTTCCCTCGCCCTCTTTCTGATAGAATTGAATTATTGCTAAGTAAACTAATTTTTTATTGTAACTTATCCTTACAAGTCTTCATATTCCTCTTGATACAAATTACTGTAACATACGAGGAGTATTTAATGAGATAAATACCCCTGAGATACTTTAATATATAAGGCCCTGCCTAGCATTTTTCAAAACACTTTTTAATACAGACTATATTTTCATTATGTGATAGTTGCTTTTACATTCTCTTTGATTTTTGAAACGATGTTGAACCTTATACAAACCCGGATTTCTATATTAAAGTAGCCATATTTACATGCACATATGCACATGTGAATATAAGGAGTTTGTAATCAAAAGGTGATATGTATTTCCACTCTATATTATTTTACATGAGGAGCCAAAACCGGAAATACACAAACCCCAAATGTACTGGAAATATAATGATGATTTCAAAGTTTGCGTAATTTTTAAAAATATTTAAAAGATGTTTTGAAGTTTTTAAGATGCTGCTCGTCTTGAAGATAAATTAAACCAAAAAACTAAAAAAAAAATACTTATTAGACACTCATCATACATATGCATGTACATATGTAGTATGTATGTGCATAAGTGCACGAGATTTTCAAGCGAACAAAAATGATTTATTTTAAGTTAAAAATAACTTTATTAGATTATTTAGAAAATTTTCGGGTATGCAGTTTTGTAGTCCATTCAACTGTAGTATAAGAAAGTTCCAGTTTCTAGTCGTTAAAAATTACCGTTGATTTTTTAGATCTTTTTTGTGGAGGGTGTTGCGCATTTTCTCCATAAAACACAAGATAAATTTTTTTATATGAAAAAAATAGCAACTCCCTCCACATAAAAAAATTCTGACTTGAAACTTCCACTTTCTTATACTACAATTGAATGGGCTACGAAACTGCATACCCGAAAATTTTTTAAATAATCTAATTAAAAATTGTGAAGTTTTAATGAAAATTCTTTGAAGTTTGATTAATTATTTTGCAATTTGTGCAATCTATTAAATTTTTATTATTGTGGTTTCTGTTACAGATTGAATTATAGTTTGAATGAAAATTATTAAAAATAATAAATAAACATAATTTGCAAACAATATCATTTTGAATTTCGTTGCTAATTAGATGATCGCATCTGTATGTATGTACATATCGTCACCTGAAATGCAAAAAGACGTAACAAACATTGTCGCTGAAATACAAAAAACGTAACTAATAAAAATTTCAAAATTCAGTTTTTGATTGATATGATGGTTTTCATCGAATTACAACTCCCACATCATATTATGAAAGAAATAAAAAATTATGAGTCACGACTTTTTCCATTTCAGTTACGATGTTGTTACGTCTTTTTGCTAAATGCAAGATATGTATGTATGTATATAAATGTAGATATTACCTAATAAACATTGTGGCGAACGTTGGAAAAAGACCTTCGATATCCAATATGAATATCGAACTGAGAACAAACTCATAACCAACCTTAGTTTTCCAACGTTCAGAGTAAATTGGAAATACACTCGTGGGTTCGAAAAAAAAATTAAAACCATAGTAGCAAGAGAGAAAGTAAAATCCAGCTTATTTTTTGAAGGGAAATATAACAGTGATCGGACTTCTACCACATTGTGGTAGATCTGCCGCTTTTTTGGGCATCTACCACATCTACCACTCAAGGTCTGAAATCTACCACATATTCGCGTTTTTGAGTACTTTTACTCTTGCTTGACATAATTTTCGTAATTTTAAGAGCAAAAATGGTCCAATACTAAACACTATATGGTAACAAGAAAGATATAACACAAGATTCCGCATTCCCGGCAACGATAAAAATTTCTCAAGTAAAAGTAAACAAAGCCGAACAAAATAAACTGTAAAATAGTAAATTTTCTCGGTAATCAATTTTTCGGCAAGAAACGTGGTTTTATTGTGTTAAATTGCAAAATATATGATTTATAAAAAGAATTAAGAGAGAAAATGTTAAAAAACGGCAATTTTTGTGAAAGTATTAGCAAATTTAAGTGCATCTAAGGTTTCTGAGGCGTTGTTTAATTTTACTTGAGAATTGTCAAAATCGGCAAATCCTAATTAGCTGTTGTTATGTGATATAAAGAAAAGCTAGCAGCCCTCCGCAAGGTTGCAGAAATCTTTTAAAATATGTTCGAAAAATATCTTAATATAAAGGGAACCTGCTTTACACTGTCAAGGGAAAAAATTGCCAAAACTCAACGCAATTTTTAGCAACTTCAATTAAAAAGTTTGCAATTTTGGTGAAACCTTGCAGAATTTTTGTAAAAAGCTTGATCCAAATCCAGGATCTACCACATTTTTTTGAAATCTACCACATTTTTTTCCTGATACTACCACACATAATTTTTTTAAAGTCCGATCACTGAAATATAAGACAATCACTCTCACACAATAAAACTTCAATTCGATAATGAGCTGGATTTCGAATTCATAACGAAGGGAAAATACATTGGATAATGAAGGTTCCGTTTTGCTGGAGAATGGCCTAGCTCTCGAATCGAATACTATCCCATTGTACATTCGTTCGAAGGTGAGACTCAAAAAAAAAAGATTGGCTTTCCAATATTTTTCAAATTGTTAACCAAGTCCAATGGTTATTGGGTATTTATAGTTTAGATTTTTTTTTGATACCGATTGTTGTCAATACTGCGTATGTGTAGACATCGCCTGTTCTAATTTTAATGATTTTTCTAAGTGACTGACATAGATACCAACATATACAATGTATAATTTTCATTAGTAGTTTCTAAGCCAAATGTACCCTTTCCAACATTTTGTAATGCAATAAACTAGAAGTCATATTTACACAATTTTTCATGTTTAACATGGACTAAATATAGTTTAATTTCAAGTAAGTAAACCACATGTTATTAATTCCTACCTATATTAAAAATATTCGTAAGAACTTGACCACAAAACAGCTTTTAAAGAAGTTCGTTACTTACATTTGCGATCCATTTGAAATATCTACTGGAAATTTTCTGTGAGGGATAAGAACCCAGAGGCCGGGTGGGAAGATATTCCACGAGAAGAAAAATTCGAATGAAACCAAAATGCACAACAAAACTTGGGCTCGAATCGTCACTTACGATATCGTTTTACTCGGCACGTAAAAACACATGTTTCGGATTATGTCATACGTGAACGTACTCTAGCGAAAACTTTGAAGAAATTTCTAACTACACGCGAATTAATGAAAAAAATTAAAACACGAAACAAACAATAAACCAGCAAGCGCACATAAATAAAATGGAGCCAACGTGGAAGTATATACATACTTTCGAATAACTGCCGCCCCTAAATTGGCGAGCCAAACAACTGTCAAAAATCCTCAAGCCCGTAAAATTTGTATGGAGCATTCCACAATAATGCGAAGCTAGCGCCGAGCAAATGGAATTTTAATTTTTGACAGGCTGTTACGCCCCATTTAAGAATTTCATTGAAAAACGCCCTATCTCAGACTTCGTTTCAAAAACGCTCTATCTCAGCACATTTTCAATATATTTACGTTTGAGATAGGGCGTTTTTGAACCGAATTCTGAGACAGGACGTTCTTCAACCAAATTCTGCGATAGGATGTTTTTCAATAAAATTCTGAAATAAGGCGTTCTTGAAAAGTTTTCTGAAATACGGCGTTTTAGTACTGGCTGCCGAGATATGTCGATCTTCCACTCAGCCATCGATATAGTAATGTTGTTTGTAACCTGTTTGAAAATTTAAATTCAATCTGAATAATTATCAAAACTTTGACATACTTAGCAAGAAATAAGTGAAGAATAAAAAATCCTGAAACTAAAGTTAATTTAAAGGTCCAGTAATATAAAAGGTATGTAACCAAAACAAATCATCCATTGGCAATGTATGAGTACATATTTACTAAACGTGTGCACAGAATATTTTGCATTCCCACGACAGCCGATTCAACGTACCGGAATGACTCGGGTTTTACCCGACCAGGGGGCTGTTGTTTCGGCGATCTAACCCCGTTTAGGTCGGCGAAATCGCTCAAACGTTGTTCCCATATGGGACTACGTCTGTTCCGTATTCTTCTTCTCAGGGCTGGCATTGAGTCAAACCCGGGGCCAGAAACATACACCTGCTGCGTATGCCAGAGACGATTGCACCCTAACTCCACCTCGGTCAGGTGTAATACCTGCAATGGGTGGAGCCACCTCTGCACTTGCTCGGGTTTAAGAACTCACCGGCAGTAGACCACGGCACACTGGAGTTCGCCCGAGCAAAACAACACTAACATAACCACACCCCAACACAACACAACAATAGACACACAGACGGACATAACCGCACCCCAACAACACACAGCCGCCGGTAACTCCTAGTCCCTCCAACAATCTGATCGGTGTGTCGATCCAGATTATTCCGTAACGTGACATCAGCCAAGTGCAACACATATTTCAATTACCTAATTCTCTTAATTCGCTGCCGCTGTGGTGCAGTGGTTAGAAGCAAAGACCGAGAACGCGTTCCCGTTTTGGTTTAGTTCTGCACGAGAACAAAACGTGATGTCAAGAGCGTTCCCACAAAAGAGCCAATCGGAAAACAAACTCGAGAACGTTCTCAAAAAGAACAAAATGCCAACAAAACTCTCGGGAACTTTCTCAAGAAGAACAGGATGAGAACGAAACTTTCGGGAACGTTTTTAAGGAGGAGCAAATAACAACGAAAGTCTGGGGAACGTTCTGCTTTAAAACAAAATGCGAACAAAAGGTTTGAGAACTTTACGTGTTGGATGAAAAATCGTTTCAGTGAGAGCCACTATTGTTAACTCTAAGTCAGAGGAAAGCTGGATCATTTCAACTTAATTTATCATTAGGGTGAACTCTCCATTTATGGAAAGAAATTTCATTTTCTGTACAATAAAAGTTTGTGTCTAAAGTCTTTCGTTGACTTCATTTGCATAATTATGTATGTAAACAGGTGGCAACACTGGGAGTACGACTTTAACCACAGCTGTCATCGGTCATACGAAGAGGGGACAGTCGAAGTGGAACAATAGCAGAGGACACTACAGCAGAATATCATTTTCCGTGCGCTAAGTAG